GAGGAGAGGAGGAGGAGGAGGAAGGAGGAGGAGGCGGGGAGGAGGAGGCGGAGGAGGAGGAGGAGGAGGAGGAGGAGGAGGAGGAGGAGGAGGAGGAGGAGGAGGCGGATGGAGGAGAGGATGAGGAGGCGGAGGAGGGGAGGGGAGGAGAGGAGGAGGAGGAGGAGGCGGGGGAGGATGGAGGAGGAGGAGGTAGGAGGGGGAGGCGGATATAGGGGAGGAGGGGGAGGAGGAGGAGGAGGAGGATGAGGAGGAGGGGGGGGGAGGGGGAGGAGGAAGACGAGGAGGAGGAGGAGGAGGAGGAGGAGGAGAGGGAAGAAGAGGAAGAGGAGGAAAAGGAACACGGGAAAAGGGGGAAGAGGCGTCATGCATGCGTTCTCGCTCCTTGCTGCTGCGTTGGTTCGAGCAGCGAGCACGTGTTGCCGCGCTGCGCGTTCGCAGCTCCCGTTGCCGCTGCCCCTGGCAGACGCCATGGCCTGGGGTGGTTGGTGGAGCGGGGCGTGGTCTTTTGACGGCGACTGGTGTTTTTTCGCCTGGGCCTCCGACAGCGGCTGGCGGAGCGCCTGGCGGTGGCCCTCCGTCTCGAGCAGCAGGGCCGCTGCCGCGGAGGCGGAGGCGGAGGCGCACGCCGCGGCTCCATGGCGCGACGAGGGGGGGGGCCATGGTGCAGCCGAGCGCGCCGGCCCCTCCCAGAGCGCTCCGCCGTGGGAAGCCAAGGGTTTCGCTTCGGCGAGGCACAAGCGGGGCGGCAAGAATCGGGAGAGCAAGGTGAATCGGCATAGTTTGCAAATCGGGCCCGCCATGTTCCTGTCACGCCCTTCTCTCTCCTTCATGTCCCCCCCCCCGCCGACTCGCAGGTGAAGTGGCGGCTGAAGCGCTGGTTCGGGGGCGTGCGCCAGGGGCTCCCAGAGCAGCCGGGCCCGCCGCTGCCAGAGGAGCCGCCCGCGCCTGGACCGTCCGAGGCCGAGCAGTCCATGGAGCTGGAGCTGGCGGGCCGCGCGCCGCCGCGCGCGGAGGAGCAGGGGCGGTTTCCCATCGCTGGCCGAGCACTGCTTCTTTCCGCCATCAACGAGCGGATCGAGGTTCTCCTTGGGCGCCGCGCCCCCCCGAGGGGGCCCCCGACGCCGTTGCAGCCTTGCCCTTGGTCGCCTTTGGGCGTGCCCGACACCGCGGCCGACGACTTGCGCACTCTCCTGGTGTTCAGCACCTCTGAGCCGTGGATCCACGGCGAGTCGGCCGCCCCGCAGCTTCTCCTCGGGCCCTGGTCGGAGTGCAGGGCGCCGCCGTCGCTCGAGCACGCGCCTCCGACGCCGTTGCTCGCGCTGCCGCCCGCCCCCGACGCTGGCCAGGAGATGTCGACGGGGCCGCCTGGCGCTGTCGGCGGCCAAATCCCCATCGCGACGATCGCGGCCCAGTCTGGTGCTGCCGCGCGCGCCGGGGCTGCTGCTTCGTCGTCAGGGCCGCCTGCTGCGGCGCCGCTCGTGGTGGAGGGCTCCGACACGGAGGCGGACGCGGAGGTGGACAGTCCGGCGGGCCCGCCCGAGCCTGCGTCGAAGAGGCGCGTCGTCCGAGACAGCGCCGAGGCCGAGGCCTTCGCGTCGCTTGCGGCCGACTGGGAGACTGCGCACCAGAGAACGAGTGGCGCTGCAGCGCGCGCCGTTGCAGGACAGGCCCGCCGCAGAGCTGCCAGAGCCTTCGCGACCGCGGAGGTCGTAGCGGCTGGGCTTCCACCGCCGCCGCCGCTGGCGCCGCCGCCGCCGCTGGCGCCGCCTGCCGATGCGTCGGCGCCGCCCCCCGTGCCCGACGGCGCGGGGGCGGGCGCCGTCGCCGTGGACTACGCGGACACGGGGCCAAAATTCGAGGGCGACGAAGCCGAGTCTGATTTTTGACGTTTCCGATTTCGATTTCTATCGAGTCCGCTCGATTCTGAGTCCGCTTCCGAACGCGTCTGACGGGGCTTCTTCGAGGAGCCCGAGTGCCGAGCGATTCCCGTCGGGCCCGCGTTCGATCCGATCCCCAGCGCGATCGATTCCGATTCCAATTGGCTCCAATAGATTCCGCCTGATCGATTCCGACCACACCTCCACCCCGTTCGACTCTGGTCGTCGTGGAAATCGACCCATTCCCAAGGGGAGGGGGTTGGGGGGGTTATACTGGAATCAGGCATGATGGGGGTCAGGAAGGCCACGGGGAGACCAAGGGAGAGTCCTCGCCTGGCCCCCCCTCTCAGTCACAGGTGCCGCGCGGGAGCCCAGGGGGGCCGCTCCACTTCGAGGGGGTGTCCATCCACGTTGTGCTGCCTGTACCTGTGGTGGGCACGCCCGTGGGGTACTGTCGCATGCAGGACGACCACCTGCAGCTCAATGCAGGCGGCAAGTACCAGCGGCCGTGCGTTGTCGTGCAGGGGCTCTGGAAAACGGGGACGCACGCCCTCCACAGTTACATGGAGCGGCACTTCGACGTCGAGGTGCGCAAGAGCAGGTGGGACGGGTGCGTCTCCTTCAACGGCCGCCACGTGTGGAAGCACGACCTGCTCCTCACGCCGTTGGAGTTTCCGCCAGAGGATGAGCAGGGCCGCCCAGTGGTGGTTCTGGTGTGCACGCGCGAGCCGACCAGGCGGCCGACGGGTCTTTCGGGCCAATGGTGCAGCAGAAGCGCGCCAGCTTTTGAGGTATCAGCCTGCCTGCCCTCCCGTCTTCTCACTTCCCCCAAACTATCATGCCATGCTGCTCTCGCAATCCCCCTCCCCCAGGTGGATCAGGGCGATGTCGAAGGGCGCCTGCGAACTGATGCCGAACTCTGCCAGCGGCGCGAAGCGGGTTCGGAGGATGGGGGGCGCGAGTAGGCTCTTGCGGGGGCCGAGAGACGAACCTGTGCACGTCCGCTGGCCCGCCTGGGCGAAAGGCCGCGTCGATTGCGATCCAGAGTTCGAGGATGCGTTCGACTTGTGGTGCCACTACATGGCCGCAGTGCTCCACGGCACTGGCGTGGGCAGCCCGGCGTCTCCAACCCATCGCGCCCTCGTCGTGCGGCGCGAGGACCTCGTGTGCAGGCCCGAACTCGTGCTGAATGAGCTCGTCAGGGCTGGCTTGCAAACCAAGGGGTTGCCGTTTCATCCAGAGGCTTCTGGGGGGCCACCACACCGACAAGGGGCGGGCGGTGGAGGCGCTGAGGGAGGAGGTGCAAACGCCAGTGACCCTGGACGATCAGATGGTCGATTGCATGGTGTCGAGGGCTCAACGGTGCAAAGGCTTGTTTGCCACTTGCTGGTGCCCGCCCGCCGACGGCAAACTTCCAGTCGACCACGTGAGTGTCGAGGATGTTTATAAAGTTTGCGGAGCGGCGTGATTTATCTGTTTCCCGCGAGCTGTCCAACTAGCAGGCAGCCCCCGCCACCTGTTCATTCCTCTTCGCCTCCTCTGGTGCAGCATCAGCGCGCTTCTCCCTACTCCCTCTCCTGGTGACGGCCTGCAAAGCAGCCGCGCCCGAATTGCTGGCATTTGGAACGGCGCCAATTCGCTGCGGATTATTCCTTTGAGAGCTTCGTGCGCAACGTTCGCACATGAAAAAAAGAAGATGTCGGGTGACAGAGCACCCCCAACGAGGTGGGGAACCCTGGGCTGACAGAGCCCCCCAACGCGGCCTGGGGAAGCTTGCAGAGGTTCCAAGAGGCACCAGTGGGCTCCAAGACGGCCCCGAGAGGACGCCGAGTAGGCTTCAAGAGGTTCCTCTCCCAAAATTACCCCAAGGGTATCTGTAGAGGGCTTCCCGAGGTCGTCGTCGTCGTCGTGGTCGTGGTCGTGATCGTCGTCGTCGTCGTCGTCGTCGTCGTCATCGTCCTCGTCCTCGTCGTGGTCGTCGTTGTCATCGTCGTCGTGGCCGTCGTCGTCGTCGTCGTCGTCGTGGTCGTGGTCGTGTTCGTCGTCGTTGTCGTCGTCGTGGACGTCGTTGTCGTGGTCGTGGTCGTGGTCGTCGTCGTCGTCGTCGTGGGGCCCGTCGTGGTCGTGGTCGTCGTCGTCGTCGTCGTCGTCTTCGTCAGCGGACATCTTTCCTCCTTTGTGGTTGTGGCGCACCCCGCGGCTGCGGCGGCCCATAATTGAAACGACTGTTGTGATTGCGTTTCCTGCCGCGCCGCGGCGACTAGGAGGAAGGGGGGGGGAAGGGAGAGGGAAGAGAGGAGGAGGGGATGAGGAAGGGAGGAGGAAGGGAAGAGGAAGAGAGGAGGACAGGAGGAAGGGGGGCCAACGGGGGGAGGAAGGGAGGAGCAAGGGGGAAGGGAGGAGGATTGGATGAGGACGGGGGGAGGACGGGGGGAGAAAGGGAGGAGCAAGGGAGGAGGAAGCGAGGTGGAAGGGAGGGGGAAGAGACCAGGACGGGAGGAGGATGGGGAGAGAAAGGCGAAGGCTAAGGTACTCACTATGTGGCCACTCCGTGCGGCGAACGGATGCTGGGGGCACCCCCGCTTCAAAGGTGGTCGTTGCAAGGCGTTGTAGCGCCAGGCCGCCTCGAGGAAGAGGGGGGGGGGAGGGCGCGGGAGGAGGAATAAGTAACGAACGCGGAGGAGAGGAGGAGGAGGAGGAGGAGGAGGGGAGGCGCAGGAGAAAGCAGACTGCTGTGAGTGACAAGCCAGGGGGCACCCCTGCTCATTACCCGACGCTGCCTTCCGCATGGTGGCAAGCGTCATCGGTGGCGCCCGTGACCGCTCGAGAAGTGACGCGCGGGCCCGCGTCGAGCAAACCGGAGAAGGAGGAGGAGGAATAGGAGGAGGAGGAGGAGGAGGAGGAGGAGGAAAAGGAAGAGGAGAAACCTAGCAGGAGGCTGGGGGCCTCTATCGTGTGAGCCGTGCATCTGTAGTCCTTGTGGCTCCAGCGCGCTGGTAGTCATATGCCCGAATGAATCTGTTCGCAGCTGCTCGGGGCGCGTTGGGTCGCCTCGGGCGGCGATGGGCTCGGGGCTCGAGGTGCAGCAGAAGCGCGCCGCCCCGGGCCCCGCCCAGGCAGGCGCGGCCTGGTGCCTCTGGGCGCGGCTGCCGCTGCAGCTCGTCGGGTTAGGGGCGATGCGCGGCTCCAGCTGGACATGGAGCTGCAGGCGCAGATGGCCACGCACAATTTGGACAATGCCAAGCGACAGGTGGACGCGATGGGGGAGGGGCCGGAAGGCCCGCGCAAGAAGTCGCCAAGATTTCGCTGGGATCAGTGGCTTCCTCGGACAATGCTCCGCGCAGTGTTCAGCAAAGAGAATCTGCGGATGGCTGCTAGCAGCGTCGCCAAGGTTTTCAAAGGCACCGGAATCAAAGGCAGCCATCTTTTCGTTCGCCAATTGAGATCGGCTTTGGCGGAGCTTTATTGCGACAGCCAACGTGTTCAAATAGAGCGCCAAGTGCTCAGAGCGCCTGGGACAGAACACAATTGGTTGGTTATGCATCCGCAGTGGGACGAAACCAAGTTCACTGTGCAGCTGAACGACGGCAAGCCTCCTTGTGGGCAGCAAGTGATGACACAGCACGGCGCGTTGCATTGGGAAGACGAGGACCTCCGCGTCCACAGCCAAGAGCTTATCTTCCCACCGTCCGCGCTGGAATCTGCAACCGCCGACTGCATGCTCGGAGGCCTCGCGCGGGCGTTGCGCGTGGATATGGATGAGCTCTGGCCGTCGGCGCTGCTGGCGTGCTTGTCCCCGAGCGTCGATTCTGTGGCCGCAAACGGGCTGGTGTGCAAATATTTGCTGCAGACGTTGCCCTGGTGGGTCCTCCTGTTGCCTTCTTTTTGTTTGCAGCATCAAACCGCAATATGTTTGCAGTCGGTCGGGGACATGACGGGGGTCGTCGGCGGCATGTTTTCCACTGTCAGACACTTGCAAACAGGGGCCAACTTGCGGGCCCTCGAGACAGCTCTGCGGCAAATCCTATCGGACGAGGAGGCTGGTCTGGAGGTGCGGCGGGGCGCGCCGAATCCAGCGGACAGGGGGAACTTAAGCTCGACATGCTGCTCGGGCATTGCGACCGCCAGATGGATGAGGACGTGGGGGGCGAGGAGGTGACAGCGGCGCGCGGCCAACGTAGAGGCCTCACCAAGCCAGAGGTCGACTTGATCAAGGAGATGTTCACCGGCGACGTGTCTCAAGAGAGGCCTGTGCACCATTGCAGGGGCCGCGACTGCTGCGCGAACAGGCAGGAGTCTGTCGACAGAGCGGTGGCGGCGGCGATGGTTCCTTTGCGCAGGCGTTTGGCAGTGCCCGCGTTGAACCGCTGGAACACTGTGCATCCCACCGCGTGCGTCTTGCTGCTGTTGATCTCCTTGCATGGATTGCTGCCGCGTGCGCTCGAGAAGACGTGCGGCGCTGCTGCGCGCGCCATGCGGCGGGAAGATGGCGGCCTCGAGAGCGGCAGCGGCGCAGCGGGCCTGGGGGATTTCAGGCGTGAACAGCATGTTCGCACCGTCAAGATGATGAGGTTTCTCTCCGATCTACTTGCGCGGCAACGGCTGGTCCTGTGGGTGGCCGTGGCCGCCGTGGGGATGCGATTTCATTACGCATGTTTCAAACGTGGGTCTTTGCATGGCTGGCTCGACCCCAAGGGGTCTGCGCTGTCGTCATTCTGCAAGAGCGTCGTCTTTGACACGCTCGCTCAGCTGAGCTCAGCCTTTGACCCCGCTGCAGCTGGACATTACGACTTGTGGAGATTGCCGCTTGCCCTGCACGGCCCCCTCGCGTCCTGGCCCGGCGAGGTCCTCCGCGAAGCAGACGCCGTCGTCCACGTATTCACTGGGTCCTTTTATCGTCGCTTCGACATTCGTTTGAGCGGTTACCCACGGAGGCTCATGCGGTTCGTGGACGCCTCCCTGGACATGGGGGCCCGCCGCGCAGAAGGCGAAGAACTCTTTCGGGCAAACGAGTGTTGCCTGGACTCGGGGTTCTCCTTGAGGCTGAGGAAGATGTGCACCACGGGCGTTGACGGCCTTTTCCTGCCAGAGGTGCAGCGCTTTCTCTCCGCATGCTTTAGGTACGCGATGGCCTCGACGGCGCATTCCGAATTGTTGGCGTTGCGCAGATCCCCACCAGCCCATCCAGAAACGTCGCCCAGGCGAGTTGGCTTTTTCACGGCTGCGGTCTGCGACCCTAGGGGCCGTCTTGGGCCATTCTTGACGCTCTAACCTATTGCGGGCCCCCGCGCCCAGGTCCTGGGGAGGGGGCGCGGGAGAGGGGTAGACCCCTCCGCAAACGGGAAAGAATGGGGGTTGGAAGAGGAATCTCCCTAGACCACTTGCGCCCTGAAGGGCGCGTGGGATTGGCTTTTGCGCGGATGAGAGCCCACCTCCAGACGATGAACAACAGACCTCCGAACGCCGCGACGCTCTCCGCCAAGCACGTGATCTCCGAGGTTGTTCGCTGTCACGAAGAGGGGCGGAGAAGGCGCCGCGGGCGCGACTTGCGCACCAAGCGGGGCCGACTCCTGCAGAAGAGCGGCCACTCGAAACCGATCTGGGCCCAAGGCAAAGGAGGCAACCAGCGGCGCAAGAGGTTGGGCCATTATATGTTTTACCACCGTCGCGTGGTTGATCTGCGAGATTCGCAGCCGCGGGCGCCATGGGCAGACCCGAGAGAGCACGAGCGGCGTCTGTATCTACAGGCGGCCGCGGACTGGCGGGCTGCGTCCGAGGCCGAGAGGCGAAGCTGGAGAGAGGCGGCTCGGCGCGCGAACAAGGCTGAGAGGATGAAGCCAGACCCGCTGCACGAGTACGTGCGCATCTGTCGCGACCACGTTGACCAGTCGGACGAAGCTGCTTGGCCTTGGGGTCTCGGCTCAGACGAGTTCCCCTTGTCCGAGGACCTTGTCTCCGCAGCCGTGCAAGCGCATGTCGATGCGAAGCTGAAGAGGGGATCCTTCGTGGAAGCCACGGCCGTGTCGTTTGACGAAATGTGCAATGCTGCTGTGGCGCCTCCAGGACTCATTCGCTGCGGCCTCCCAACTGAGCGGCCTTGCTGCACGCGCGCGGCAGAATGCCTTGGCGGCGTCGCCGACTTGCGGGGGGAGTACCAAGGCGTAGTGGAAGATTTGCGGTTGTTGGCGGCCCCTGCGATGTGCAAGACTGTCGGGAAGATGATGACCCTCCAGGTTTCAGGGCCTGGAGGCTGTGTGATGATTCGCAACTTCTCGCACTTGAAAAGTCATATTTTCACGGGGGAGTTCTGCGAGTGCGACGTGGTGGGGCAGCCATGCGGGCTCGGCGCGGCGCCCCCCGAGGTGCCATTCTCTCTGCGCCGGTGTTGGGTGGAGAGGAAGGGCCGCAGAGTGTTGAAGATGATGACTGAGATCGACGTCGCCCTCCACATCTTACGCGCGTGCGGGCGCGACCGGGCTGAGCTGCGCTGGGTCGAACTTCTTGCGCGCCCGCGCATGGGTTGCTCAGAGCTGCAGTATTCGGTCGATTGGGCGGAGGAGCGGGACTTACACGAGGCACGCCTCCACGAGAAGGACGTTGACCTGGCGACGGGCTGGTTCCAGGCGTTCGCCGACTCCCGCCCTGGCGGGGCTTCCGCCGACGGGGGGGGCAGCGGCGCGCGTGGCGGGGATGAGGAGCCTGACTACGCGAAGGATTGGAAGGCCGCTTGGGAGGCCGCCGCCGCCTGGCGGCAGAGAGGTCGCGGGGCGCAGGGTGCAGCAGAAGGCGCGCCAGCGGAGGCGCCTCCCGCAGCAGCGCCGGACGCCGCTCTGGCGCACGGGCCGCTGGGCGGCCACGCTGCGGCGGCGGCGCCGCCGCCGCCCCCCGCGGGCGCGCCGAGGCGCCCGCGCGTCGCCCGATGCCCGCAGCTCCCACATCCCGCTGGGGCTGGCCGTCCTCACTACATTCGCCTTGTCGAGAACGAGGCCCTCGCCGTCTACGACATGCGCGCCGTCTGTGGCCTCCATCCAGGCTGTTCATGGAACCAGCAATCGAGGGTCAGACAATTGGCCGCTTTGTGGTGGTGGTTGGGGGAGGCCCCTGGATGCGGGAGCAAGGCAGACCAGAAACAAAAGGTGCCCACGCCAGCGCAGATCGCCGCTGCTCGCGCGGTCCTGGAGGGCATGCCCGAGAGCCAGCCTTGGAGGGACTCGGAGGAGAGGCGGGCCAGTGGCGGGTGATCTTCCCGCCAGGACAGATACGAAGCGTAGGCGTGTAAAAGTGCATTTCTCAGCGTCGTTGTCGCCGCCGCGGCCGCCCGCTGCAATCGCGCAGCTGTCGCCTGAGCGTTGCTCCAATCGCTGTTTCGCCGCGTCTCTCGGCGCAGCATTGTTCCCGAGCTGCGGCTAAGCTGCCGTCCGCGCCAGCGCCTCGCTGCCCGCCGCCGCGCCCGCCCCCTCGCTCCCCGCGATGTCCCGCGCGGAGACGGTGAAGGCATCGCCTTCCGACACCGACGGGGAGACGGAGAAAGCGCCGTCCCTGGCCTCGGGGTTGCGGCGGGGCCGCATGCTGCGCGGCCTCGAGGTCGAGGGGCCCCCGTCATTGTGCACTTCCTTATGTCCTTCCTTTCTTTCGCCTCGCCTCCTTTCCTCCCTCTTGGCTCCCGTTTCCTCTCAGGTCGCCCTCGTGGTGGTTGGCCAGTGGGCTGGCTATCTGGTGAAACCTTTCAACAAGAAGGATGGTTCCAGCTTCGCGTGCGGTCTCTGCGCCCACGAGAGCACGGGCCCGAGCCCGTATCCCCAGGCGAGTAACGAGGACGAGTTCGGCGGACACTGGCCGTGGAAGTACCGCGCCGACCATGGCAGCATGATCCGCCAGGCCACGGGCTATTTGTGCCTGGTTTGCAAGGCCCTGTTGCGCAAGAAGGCAGGCGGGCAAGGGACATTTCGCTGAAATCGAGCCCGCCGCTTTCAATTTTTCTCTGCCCGCGCGGGCTGCAAATTTCTATTTCTGATTTTTTTTCAATTTCCCATTGTTTTTTTGAATTTCCGGCCGGTGAACATAAAACCGCCCTGGTGAACATAAAATCGCCCTGGTGAACATAAAAGTGGTTTTGGTGAACATAATTGTTTTTTGAATTTCCGGCCGGTGAACATAAAACCGCCCTGGTGAACATAAAATCGCCCTGGTGAACATAAAAGTGGTTTTGGTGAACATACTTGTTTTTTGAATTTCCGGCCGGTGAACATAAAACCGCCCTGGTGAACATAAAATCGCCCTGGTGAACATAAAAGTGGTTTTGGTGAACATAACTTTTTTGGGGGGGGAAATGATTTTTTTCAATAAATTCACAAAAAGATGCAATTTTAAATTCAGCGCATTGCAATTCCGCGCAAGAGAAAAGGGCAACCGGCAGAGGAATGCATTTTTTTCTGGTCGCGGCGAGGCGACTTCGAGCATTGCCGTTGGACATTCCACCTCCGCTCGATCCGCAGGGGTGCCCCGCCCGGCCTATCCTGCACGGGGCCCGACGCGACTCGAGTCCCGCGCGGCCCCGACCCATGTCCGACGCGATTCCGACTTGGTCCAGCCTCTCTCTCTCTCTCTCTCTCTCTCTCTCTCTCTCTCTCTCTCTCTCTCTCTCTCTCGCAGGCGGTGCTCTTGGACCCCCACTTGCCTGGCGGCGAGAAGAAGCCGCTGAAGGAGTACATCAAGTGGGTGCGCCAGGATGCGGGCCGGGCGCAGACCGTGCGGCTCAAGGTGGATGCGTACGTCCAGAGCCAGGCGGGGAAGGACCCAGAGAAGCGCCGCCGCATGTCCAGGCAGGCCGCGGGAGACATCCAGCAGGCTCGCCAGGTATCTTCCGTCAAGGTATCCGGGCGTCGCCTGTCTGCGAACTGGCATCAAGCCTGCCCCGTGAGCAAGTGGCACGAGGCTTTCCCTGAGACGCCGCTGCCCACGGACCCGAATTGTCGCGGCGAGGAGCTCATCGACGGCGCCTGGCAGGAGGCGCGCTGCCAAGTCGTCTTCCCACTCGCTTCCTTCATCGTTGAAATGCCCTCCCTTTCTGCTCTCCTACTGGCAGGTTGTATATGTCATGAAGGACGGCGCGAAGAAGTTCTTGTGCGACATCGCGGACTACGACGATCGCAAGGTGGAGGACAGGACGGTGCTGGCGACTGTGGCCGAGTCAGACGACGACGCGGACGCGGCTGAGGTTGCGGCTGCTGCCGAGGCCGCCGTGGCCCCAATTGCAGCCCTGCGGCGCGCCACGCAGCGCGCGGAGATCGGTGCAGCAGAGAGCGCGCCGTTGGAGGGGCACCAGCCCGACTCTCCCGCGAGCGACGAGGACGCCGAAGAGACGGATCTCGTGGCCGCGGCGCTGTCGGGCCTGTGGGGCACGGCCCGCGCCGCCAAGCCCGCGCCCAAGGCTGCGACCAAGCCGCAGGCCAGACCACCAGCCCAGACGACCGGGAGGGCTACGTCCGGGCGCCCCGCCCAGACAGCCGAGAGGCCTGCCGCCAAAGGGGCTGCCGCGCCCGCAGCCGCTGCCCCTTCGAAGTGCGCCGCGCCCTCGGCGCAGGCGCCGCCGCAGAGGTCAGCCGCCCGCGCCCCTGCTCAGACGGCCGCGCCCTCGGCGCAGCCAGCCGACGGCAGCAGCGCCAGTCCGCCCTTGGCGACCCCGCAGCGCTCGGGCCGGAGCCAGCCAGGGAAGAAGCGCGGCAGCGGCGGTTCGTGGGCCGCGCCCCTGCTCGCCCGGCCGCCCGACGACTCCGACGAGGGCGGCGGGCAGCCGGACGAGCCAGCACCTCTCGAGGACGGCTCCGCGTCGAAGAAGAGGGGGCGGAAGGCCCTCGAATTCAGCCTCACAGCGGCCGGCAGGAAACTCAAGGGCGAGGCCGACACGCTCTTCAATACGTTCCGGGAGTGTTACAAATTGCTCGACTTCAGCGGAGATGTGGACCTGTCCACGAAGGAGGGGAGAGCCCACTTCAAGGCCGCGGCTTTTGAGCAGGCGGCAGCCGCAGAGAGCGCCATCCACACGGCCAAGAAGGCAGCGGCCAAGATGGGGAAGATCCCGGATGACGGCGCGCAGGCGCTGCAGATCAACAAGGCATGGCTGGCGCGCTCAGAGGAGGCGCTGGCCGCGGCAGTGCGGGTCGTCAAGGCGGAGTGGTCGCGGTCGTGGTCGCGTTCGTGGTCGTCGTCGTCGTCGTCGATGGAGGAAGGGAGGAGGAAAGGAGAAGGACGATAGGGGGAGAGGGAGGAAGGGAGGGGGAAGGCAGGAGGGGGGGTAGGAGGAAGGAAGGCGGAAGGCAGGAGAAAGGGAGGAGGAAGGGACGCGGAAGGGAGGAGGAAGGGAGGAGGAATGGGGGAGGAAGGGAGGAGGGGGCTACAGTACGCATTCAGTTGTTCATTCTTCTTTGTGAACGGGGGCTTGGAGGCCCCCGGCCCAGTTCAAAGGGGGCGGCGGAAGCGGAGGAGGAAGAAGATTGAGCGATGGGGGACCAGAGGAGGCGGAGGAGTCCGCAGGCTGCTGTGAGCGAGAAGCCAGGGAACACAGACTCTCCTGAAAGACACCGAGATCGCCGCGGCGGAGGACATCGCGTTCGGCGTGGCGTACCACATGCGGTTCAGGAGCTGGAAGGCAGACGAGGCCATCGAGCGCTGCGATTGGTTACAGCTGATGTCCCTGTTGGAAAGCGGCGCTGCAGATGGCGCGCCCTCGGCAGATCTCGCGACGACGACCCTCGAGCGAGTCGGCGCGGGCCTGATTTCGGCCGTCGCGAAGTCGGACGCCAAGAAGGGAGGCGGATCGTTTGCTGCCGTGGTTGCCTTCGCTGGCGCCGCGCGGGATGCTCTCCAGCGGGCCCCCGCCGACCCTGCGCGGCCAGTGTGGGAGGAGGAGCTGAAGGGTCAAATCCAAGTTCTCTGGGCAGTGTCGCGCGCGAGCACTGCCCCGCTGACTGAGGTGGAGGAGGCGCTGGAGGCGCTCCCGCAGCTGGAGGGGGCCTTGGGCGTCGCTTTGAACACGAGCCCGGGCGGCAAAGTCCTCGTTGGTTGGGCGGAGTCGGCCATGAAGAAGCGGTCCCACGAGGAGGCTGCTCTCCAGTGCGCCCAGGCAGCCCGGGAGCTCTTCGCGCAGGTGACGGGCCATGCCGCCGGGGAGCAGTGGCAGAATTGGACCGAGGAGGTGTCGCGCGCCTGCAAGAAGCAGAAGGAGGCCGCGTCCAAGGCGGGCGCGCTGCAGGAGGCCGACCGGCACCAACTCGCCAGGGAAGGCCGCGGGCGGGCCTCCGCAAGATCGCGAGTCCGTTCGATGAGGTTCGAGGGTTTCCGATCCGCCATTGGTTTTAGTTTGGCCGGTGCTGCTGCGGCGCGCCTTATTTTCTCCTACTTGAGCATGGGATGTTTGACCTCGCCGTTGCCTGTGTTTGCCTCCTGTCGAGGCACGGCGTTCGAGGACGTGGTCCTCGGGTTGCTCTTGCGCTCGCCCCGCGAGGAGGTGGGGCGAGCCGCGGCAGGCCTGAGGAAAGATTCCTTGTCCGAGAGCGAGAAACAGGACACAGACAGATGAACCACCCCCGGACCCCGGACCGCCAGAACGATCAGGAGGAAGTGGAGGCGGAGGAGGGAGGAGGATGATGAGGAGAACACCTTGTGCCAGAGGTGCTGCAGCAGCGCGCCTTCTCAATGTAGTTTGGGCGCCGAAACGCGTTCTCCAGAGGAGCTCCTGACTGCCGCGTGCGTCGAGCGGCTGGAGTTGGAGCGCGGCTGGTCGACCGTCGAGGAGTGGGCGCCTGATGGCATCAAGGGCCCCCACGAGACCGCCTTCGGGGCATTGAAGAAGATCGCCGACATCGCCGCGTACAGCCGTCTCGACGTACCTGGGGTGAAGCAGCCAGTGAAGACAGCCAATCGGTTGTGCGACCTCTTGAAGGAGAGCCCCGAGGCGTTGTTGAAGGTCTCTGGCGTGACAGTGTCTGCGGAAGACAACGTAGAGGGGCTGCAGTCGCTGTTCTCCCTCGCGCTGGGCACGGCGGCGCGCGTGCGCAGGGCCTTGGGCCACAGCGTTCTGGCCAGAGCCAAGGGTGCAGCAGAACAGTCTCTGAAGCGCGTGGCCTCGGCGGCGTGGCAACGGAAGGAATTGCAGGCCTTCTTGAATATCTCCGAGCTGCTGAGCGCGGAGCCGCCCGAGGACACCTGGAAGGAAGCGGACATGTGGCTGTGCAGCGTCGCGGCCGTCGCCGACGCCAAGGAGCTTGCCGAGCAGGCCGAGGGCGAGCTGAACCTGGAGCTGTGGGAGAACGCGAGCGACGCCGTGCGCCAGCTCGGGGACATGGTGCAGCCGGAGCGCGCCTCCCAGACGGTCATCGCGAAGACTTTCGACGCTTCTCTGGAAGATGTGGAGGCAGCAGTGGGGGCCAGCAAGGAGCTGCACGCGCAGGCCGTGCCATGGCTGGAGAAAGTCGCGCAGGAGCGGGCTGAACGCTCCGTCAAGCGGTTCGACGCCGAGCCAGCCGTGCGCGCCGCGAAGGAGCTTCTTGAGAGGAGCCCCATCCCCGAGACGCTGCAGGAAGCGGCCGACTTCTTAAAGGTTGTCGGTGGCACCGTGGACATGCCGGAGACCTTCGGCGGCAAGGGTGGGAAGATGGTTGATGCTGTCAACAAGGTGCGCAGATCCTTGTTCGCCGTCTTCCCCAGCTCCTCGTGTTCCTTCACCAGTCCCCCGCTGTCTCATCCCACCGAGCTCCCCTCGTTCCCAGTACATTCCGCCGCGGCTCCTCCTCGCCACCCCGCGTTCGCTCCAGGTGATCGGTGGCTTCTCTCTCATAAAGGAGGTGTACCGCGACCCCCATCTTGAGTCGCAGGTGGACTCCATGACGTCACAGTTGCGACAGCGGCTCTTCCTGGTCGCCTGGTGCGCGAACGTGACGTCGTCGATTTGGGAGGCGAAAGGCCAGTCGAGGATTCTGACCCAGCAGAAGCAGAAGGTCCGCGATGCCATGAGGAACCTCATCAGCGTCGCAGAGGAGCCTGACAAGACGAAGGAGGAGTTTCCCGCGCTCGAGGGCCGCCTGATCCCCGAGATCCTTTTGAACGCGGGGAAGGCGATCCTCGCCGGCCGCGCAGTGAGCGGGGAGAGCGAGGCGGAGGGCGCCAGCGGCGCAGCAGACAGCGCGCCTGGGAGCGGGGCCGGCGGCACTGACCAGAAAGGGTGCGCCCGGGCTGTGCCCGGGGCCGCCAAGAGGGCCAGGGTGGGCGACGCGGCGTCGTTTCCAAAGGCGACGCCGCATTCCCCAGCGGTTCTGGCGGCGAAGAGAGCCAGCATTGGCGGCGCCCCTGTGTGCAAGTCCGCGCGCAAGGCCGCGTAGGTGCGCGCTGCAGGAGTCCGGGGGCACGGTGGTGTTTTTCTTTGCGGCGGGGGCGCCTGGCGCGCTCTCCAGTCGAGCGGCCGGCGCCCAGGGGCCGCCTCGCTGAGACGAGAGGGGCGCGGGAGGCAGGGGGGCGCAGGAGATAGAGCGAGGCGGCGGGGGGAGGTCCAGCGCGCGAGATATGCACTGCGAGTTGCGGGCTGACGCTCGGTTTAGAGTTCAGGGGAATGGCGCAGTGACAGCCCGTGGCGGTCTCTCACGGGGGTTGTCCACAGGCCTTGCTTTTCCAGCTTCGGAAGTTTGCTACGGACAATGCGAGCGATGTGCTTAGTCGAGGGGAGTCTGACACTCGCTCTGCAAAAAAATGAGGAAGGATGGGGGGGAAAGCAAGGCGGAGGAGGAGCAGGAGACGCAGGAGGGTTTTGCCGTACTCTGCTGGGCGCGTCCACGAGGACGCAACAGACTTGAAACTTGCACCGATGCCGCCCCAGGCAGGCGAATCGGGATCCGTGGATGAGGAGGAGGAAAAGAGGGGAGAAGGGGAGGGGGAAGAGGAGGAGGAGGAGGAGGAGGGCCATCGCACACCTGCCAGGGGGTCGGCCGTAGGCAGATCAACTGCGGATGCTGCTCCTGCTGCTGCCAGTTGCCAGCATTTCAAGCCAGTCTTCGCGCGCCGAGGGCGCGCCCTGTTAGAGCAAGAGCGGTTCCTGTCCGCCGAAGGTTCTGGTTGTTGCTGCTGCTCTTGTTGCTGCTCTCCCTCCCCCCCCTCGCTCTGTAGGAGGAAGAGGATGGGTGGGTAGGAGGATGGGGGGAGGGAAGAGGAGGAGGAGGAGGAGGAGGAGGAGGAGGAGGAGGAGGAGGAGGAGGACGACGACCATTTTACAGATGCCAGGGGTTCGGCCGTTGGCAGATCTACTGCTGATGCTGCTGGTGCAGCCACTTGCCTGCGTGGCGGGCCAGTTGCCGCCCCTTGACTCGGATTAGCTCGCTCGCCTGGTGCTCCTGGGCCCCTGGTGTGGCAGCGGCAACGGCAGCAGCAGCAGCAGCAAAGGTGCGCGAGACCTAATGGAAGCAATAGGCGCGCTCCTGCAACAGGTAAACAGAGCCTACAAAGGTAGATCATGTTCCCATCCACGGAGCAGAAAAGTCGAATCCCCGATCGGCCCGAAGCACGGAAGGGGAGGAAGAGGGGAAGAGGGTGGAAGGAAGGGGGGAAGGGAGGAGGAATAGAGGAGTAAGGGGGGAGGTACAGAGGAGTAAGGAAGGAGGAAGGGAGGAGGAATAAAGGAGAAAGGGGGGAGGGAGGGGGGAAGAGGGGAGGGGGGAGAGAGGAGGGCGGGAGGAGGAGAGGGGATACTGGGAGGAGGAAGGGAGAAGGAAGGGAGGGGGAAGAGAGGGGGGCGGGGGGAGGAAGGGGTGAGAAAGACCAGGGCCATAATATTCATTATCTGGTTCACTCCTTGTGGAGGGCGGGCAGTGAGACAACCAAGCAGGCTTTTGTTTGGTCCGTGGACATGTGCCTTGGGAACCGCGAGGGGGCCTCGAGAGGGCCCCGATGGGGTCAGTAGGCTGCCCTCCAGAGTTTTCTGGCTCAAGGCGCGCGGCGCAGTGGGCCCGCGCGGCCAGGCCGCCTCGGCGCGCGGCCCGCTTCGGCGCGGCTGATGGCCCCGAAAAAACTGCCGAAGCTCCCGGATGGGAGCCGCTGGGGGCGCCTCGACCTCGACAACTTCGTGGCGCCTGCGGCGGCGCGGGCCAGCACTGTAGAAGGCTCGTCGCCGCTCCGAGCGCGCCTATCCAGGCAGGCGCCGTCGTCCATCGCCAGCGGGGCCGAGAAGAGGCCGGCCGAGGCGCCGGCCTCGAGTGCGGGTAAGAGGGCGGCCGCGGCCTCCGCTCTTCGGCGGCCGGCGGCCGCTTCGAGTGCCAGGGAAGCCGCGGAGGCGGCTGTGACAGCGGGCGAGGAGGAAGCTCGAGGGCCGCTGGAAGGTTTGCCGGAAGCTGGCGCTGCTGGGCGCGCCGAAGACGACGCCTCGGCAGACCCCGCGCGTCGCGAGGGCGCCGCTGGCGGCGGCGACCGAGAGGGTCGGGCATTGAGCGAGGGGCGCGGCAAGGCGTCGTCGGAAGTAGAGGCCGACGCGGCGGCCGCGGACGCGGAGGCGGAGGCTGACGACCTGCGCCAGCTTGCCGAGGAGAGCGGCGGCGACGGCGGCGAGCTCGGAGAGGAGGAGCAGCCGCGCGAGGAAGACCCCGAGGTCATTGGAGATGACTGGTTGCCAGCTTGGCCAGCCCCGAAGGCGATCGATGCAGCCGCGGTTGCTAGTGGACATGCGCTGCGATTCTTCGGGGAGTGGGTGGACGCCTATATGCCCCCCGTCCTCAAAGAGCACGCCGCGTACGTCACGGAATCGATGCCCCAGGCGCTCTCGGCGGCGGCGTTTGGCGACGGAATGCTCGTCGCGGCGCCCGTGCTCACGGAATTGCAGAGGGTGTTCCAGAAGCGCGGTCTCTTGTCGGAGGGTTTTCGCATCGCCGCCCACTGCCGCACGGACGCGGCTAAGAGCACCATGGCGAATCAGCGCGCTGAAGTGTTCGCGAGGTGGTGCGCGCCGTTAGGCGGATCTGGGCGGAGCGTGGACGACGGAATCCGGGGCATCGGCGGCCTCCCCAGAGGTGCTGCTGCGCGCGCCAGGGGGGGCCCAGCCTTGCTCTTGGGGAGCTGTTCGTTCAGGCGCCCGGGGGCCAGCTGCGCCAGCGCGGCCAGCATTCTCCTGCAGTATGCGGCGCAGAACAGCGAGCTCGTTCTCGTGGAGAGCACGGACGGGCCGGGGGAGAGCATCCCGCACGACGAATTGCAGGAAACCGACGAGTGGCAGTGCCTGACCTTCGTCGTGGACTCGGCGGACTACGGCGCGCCTTTCAGCAAGTGCAGCAGGTGGCTGTTGGCGGCGCGCGGGGGCGCCCTGTTGAACATGGAGTCGGGGACTGAGTTCTTCCGCGTGTTCGCAGAGAGCGTCGAGGCACGGCAGATCCGCGGCCCCCCCTTCGAGGCTTTTGCGGAGGCTTCGGCGACGGTGTGGTCGGACTACGTCGACGATGCCATTCTGCAGCGGGAGGCGGTTCAAACGCGCGCCCTGCCAGTGGGCTGGCAGAAGGGCATTCTCGAGTATTGCTTGCGGAACCAGGTGAAGATGCCGACCGTGGCCGCGGCCGACGCTCTTTTCGGCGAGAGCCGATGGTTCCGCGTCCTGGACGACAAGAAGAAGATCTTGCTCGCTCTTGCGTCGGCGGAGCGCAGGGGCCACGGGTTCGTCGTGGACCTGTCCGCGGGCCTGGGCGCCAGGCAGCCGCTGCCGCCAGGGGCGCTGCTGGCGGGCCCATTGCGGGGCAATTCGGAATTCTGGTTCTCTGGTTCAGGCCGCCAGGGCAAACCGACCCTTCACGGCATTCTCTATCCTGGGCTTTCTCTCTCTCTCTCTCTCTCTCTCTCTCTCTCTCTCTCTCTCTTTCCCTCGCTTTCTCTCTCTCTTTCTCTCTTTCTCTCTCTCCTATCTCGTTCTCCTCTTCTCTCAGTTCCTTCTGTGTCTTCTCCGTCTATATATTATTATCTCTCTCTCGCTACTCTCTCCCTTACTCCTCGCTCTCTCCTCGCTCTGCTCTCCCTCGCCTCTCTATTCCTCTCTCTCTCTCTCTCTCTCTCTCTCGCTCTCTTCTCTCTTCTCTCTCTCTCTCTCCTCTCTCTCTCTCTCTCTCTCTCTCTCTCTCTCTCCTCTCTCTCTACTCTCTCTCTCTCTCCTCTCTCTCCTCTCTCTCTCTCCCTCTCTCTCCTCTCTCTCTCTCTCTCTCTCTCTCTCTCTCTCTCTCTCTCTTTCTTCTTCTTTCTTTTCTTTCTTCTTTATTTCTCTCTCTCTCTTCTCTCTCCTACTTCTCTCTCTCTCCTACTCCTCTCTCTCTCTATTATTGTCCTTCTTTCTCTCTTATCTCTCTCTTCCTCTCTCTCTCTCTCTCTCTCTCTCGCTCTCTCTCCTCTTCCTCTCTCTCTTCTCTCTCTCTCTTCTCTCTCTCTCTCTCTTTTTTTTTTTTTTTTGTTCTCTCTCTCTCTCTCTCTCTCTCTCTCTCTCTTCTCTCTCTCCCTTGACCTCTTCCAGGCGGCCGAGCGGGCCGCGTGCTGATCGGCCGCGAACTGGCTGCCGCCGCCGGGATTCCCGCAGACGGGGAAGGCAGCGTCGAGGTGTGGCGCTCGTTGGCAGGGTGCTGCACATGCGCGCCGATGCTGTTGGTTCTCTTGCAGACGCTGCTCCTTGCGGCGCCCTGGAGGGGAAACCTTGATCTAGGGCTGGACTTGGCCGCTTCGGCTTGGGCTTCTTGACGCACGGCAGAGGCTCCGAGGAAAAGCGCCATCGCCCTTCTCACCGTGCCCAGAGCGGCCCAAGAGAGACTCGCGACGGCCTCGCACGGCACTCCGATGAGTTGGCCCCGTGCGCCCCAAGAAATCTTTACGGCGGCCCGACGGGGCCCCCAGACTGCCCCCGAACGCCTGTCAGAGAACAAATTGTTGACGTTTCGCGTATCGGCGCCAGCCCATCCAGAAACGACGCCCAGGCGAGTTGAGGTGTCTAGGGAAGCGCGGGAATAAAGAGGGCGACAGCTGAACCGAGCCAAGGAAGTACGATGAGGAGGAGGAGGAGGCTGGATTGATGGATGCGTGAGGGGGCGGGGAGAATGATGATGAGTAGGAGAAGGAGTAGGAATAGGAGTAGGAGTAGGAGCAGGAGGAGGAGGAGGAGGAGGAGGAGGAGGGGGAGGAGAGGGAACAAGGGAGAGCACGGAGGAGGAGGAGGAGGAGGAGGAAAAGGAGGAGGAGGAGGAGGAGGAAAAGGAGGAAGAAGAGAAAACAGGAGGAGGAGGAGCACGAGGAGAAGGAGGAGGACACGAAGGAGGAGGACGAGGAGGAGGAACAGGGCGAGCAGAATAGCCAGAGGCATCTTCAATGCCTATCGTAGTAT